GTATTCCCAAGGTAGAGATAGAAATACTAAATAATTTGTTTAACGTCGGAACAAGAGTCCGCAATACCCACGCTGATTAAAATGGCAAAGCAGCACAATAAGAACTTGGCATTCTCTGGTACTCTAGGATGCACAGAAAATATGTTGCCTAAGTGTAAATTTTACTAGGACCAATAGCTCAAAAAGGACTGAGCAGAATTAACTGGTATTTCCCTTTGAGGGGAATAAATCAATAAAATGAGACCTCAGGCTCATAAACAAATACAAACAACTTATGTAAACAACTCAGTCTTAAATTCCTGCATCATATAACGAAAATATTTTCCAGATCTAAATGCAGAAGTTGCAGGCAGATCAGAAAAGGTCTGATTAAAGTAATTCAGGCCAGAGTATCAAGACTTGCTGAATTATGAAAAGTTAACTTTCCTAGGCTGATTTCAGCTACATGTCCTGAAATTAGCTATCCTCACTGTGGCAAAAAAACCCAACCAACCAAACAAAAAAAAACCCCAAACCCCAAACAAAAAAAAAACCCCCACAAAACCAACCTTCAAAGAAACAAATATAGACATTGAGCCACATTCATGTTTTGTGCTCTGTGAAGGTCAATGAAGTTACAATGAATGCAAAGAAAGCCCATTATATTAAGAACTAAAATCCATAGCAATAACAAAATACTGAACGTGAGCTTTAGCTCAGAGATGACACAGGCATTGCATAGGGAGATATACAGGGACAGAGCCTCTGCTTGGTAATGAGTTGCAACAGTTTATACCAACTGAGGATCTATTCCAAACTCTCAAAGGAAGCTGTTTCCACCCCTAAAACCAATTATTAGTGTTGTGCGCTTTGCAGCTTTTTTCAGTAGGTTACAGTTTCTTCTGCCAAGCTAGGAAGCTATGCCATGAGCAGCTGGTACTCCCAGGACTAACAACTCCACTACAATTTTATCCTCTAATGCTCAAGCCTCTGGTGCCTATGTCTGCAATACAGAACCACAGAGGGTAAGTATCACAAGTTCCTTCCCCGTGCCTACAGACTTACCCACTAGCTTCACAAAATGACCTTTGTTACCACAGGATTTACACTGGTGGACGTGGGAGCAGCAGATGGTCAGAATGAGCTGCTGCCATCAGCATTTTTCCTTTACTCTGTGAAATTATTCACAGTCCCCTCAACAGTGGAGGTGTTTTCTCAGCTTAAGACCAAAAGCACACTAGTTTAGTTAAAAGATGGGACAAAACAAGTCAAGCAGTAGAGTCTTTAAAAGATACTTAAATGGGCTGGATGTTGTGGTTATGTAAGAGCAAGAAACCACTATCTCAATCTGATGTATGAATTAAATGCTGCACCTTATCAACAGGAAATATGAACACATTTCCTTCAATTATTTCCTCTTGCAAATCATTCCCTGTAGGTCTCAAAGGAAACAACAGATGTACCCAAAACAAGTTTTTGTTTCTTTGCTGGCCTGTTCAAAGAAAATGCAAAACTCTGTTTTGTTTTTTTTAACACCTCACTATTTAGACAAAATTCCTTGCTCAGAGAATTTGAAGTACTTTATGAACAGTCTGGTAACATTACCTCTACATGTAAAACAGGGAAATGAGAAGAAAGGCAAGGGCATCTTCAGAGTTATACCCACACCTCCTTCTGTGTCACCGTTTTATGCCACACCACTAAGCCTACCCCACAATATAAACCCAGCAAGTACATTAACCTGCAGTAGAGCCTTCTGTCCTTTGAAAGGTATTTTATACTGGAGGGATAGAAGGGGGAAATCTTGTTAGAGATGTACGCACATTTAAATGAGAAATCTATGACGCTTCTGATAAATTGTCCAACTGATTTATGTACTGCCAATGCATTTCTTATAAAATATTTATGATCTTGATCCTGTAACTGGACTCTTCTCCCTCCAATAATTTGAGCATGCTGAAAGGTTGATGCTCTTGGCTTGAATTGCTGGCTCATGTGTTACCTTATGTTGGTTTTAATTGCAACATATTCTTGCCTAGAATGACACGCTTATGTCAACACAAAACAGGCTCAGTGCAAGATTCACAATGGAATTTGAAACACTCTGTAGTGCAGAAACATTGGAATCCATGAGCTTGGTTTCAAATCCTTCCAGAGAGATGCTTTCTGAGAAGTCTGCATCTGGTTTTCTAATCCCACTGAAGTTTGAGTGTATTCAGATCAAGCTTTACATTAAGCCCCTTCCCTAACAAGCAGGGCCAAGACGAACAAAGTTACATTTGCCAACATCTCTCTAGAGAGCGCAATGCATCTCTGCTGTAAAATCCTCATGCCGTTTTTTCCAGAGCTGGTGGGGGTGGTGTCAGTTTTAACCTTAAAGGGAAAATGAAAACAAATCTTTTAAGTTTACAATCATTGAAAATACAAACAGCTTGGCAAGGCAGCTATTCAAGACAATTTCTCCTCAAATAACAAGACAGTCGAGATAGACAAGGCTGATTGCAATTAAAGGCACAGGCTGAAATAACAAACTTGATTTATAGAGTGCATAGAAAATGGCTTGAAGACTTCGGTACTGATGGAATTTTGGAACCATCAGGAAGAAAATTATCTTAATTGAAGTTATAAAGACTTTTAGGTTATCCTTTTAAAACAATTCTAAAAAAAGGTGGGTTTGCTTCCACAGAATTCTGTTAGTTTCATCTTTATTAAATATGGTGGGACATATCCCACAAGCATAGTAAAAAAATATATTAAGCCTGAAGTCAAGTGATGTTCTTTTCTTAGCCATGGGAGAAGTTTTTCAGTCCAGTAAGTATAACTTCAGAGTGAAATAAAAAAAAATGAAAAACTAATCAGGGCCATGAATCAGTCCCACTGGGGAACAACAGGGCTATGCAGAACACAGATTTAAATTGCTATCAACGTTAGAAACCCAGCCCGGGGATCTGACACTTGCTGATGAAACTTAGTGCCAGATGAAAATACGCTGAGTGGGGTAGACAATTTTTTGCTGCCCTCTGCAGGGTAGAGTTCAGCATTGCCATCTACAGCTGAAGCCTGGGAAGCAATAAATAGGCTCACAAAATAATCTGTGCTTTTTCAGAGGAACTTTTACAATTTACTGGTGTATTACTACTTCAACAGTCATCTGTACTCAATTTACATTTATTAATATTGCATTTATAAACGCAAATCAACAGTTAATCCAGTTGACAAGTCAGTTTAGTTATGCTCATAGTTTCATTCCTGTTTTCTCAGAGGAAGAAGCCACTAGATATCCAAACCTGATAAACTGACCATAGTCAATTCTCACTTCTATTCCACAGTCAAGTGCATGTTCTAAGTAACACAGGACTCAAAGAGCAGCACTCTCTGATACACAGCAGTCCACAGAACAAAAAAAAACCAAAAACCACCCCCAGTGCCTCAGAGAGCACAGCTAGGGCTTTCTTGCCATACAGGGAAAGAAATAGGTTAGACTGTGCTTTCTGCTGTATGTATGTGTTCTGGAGGCATGCCAAAGTAAGTTTTGGTGGAAATACTAATCCCTACATAACTCCATTATATAGGAATAAAAAACCAGGCCCTTTTTCTTGCAACCTCACCACCAGGCTTCCACTCTTTACTTTGACCACTTGCTAGGTACTAAGACATAACCAGAAACTGCAAGGTACCAAAAGAAAAGACTCTTCCAAGCTCTTGTCCACCTCTGCTCTCAAGAAAAAGATTAAGCAAATATCACTGTCATTCACTTCCTCCTTCCAAATGAATGTGTAAATTATTTCAGTCTCGTACACTGGATGATTTAAAAAAAAAAAAAAAAAAAAAAAAAAGTCTTCCGGTGGTAATGGTTAACTCCTTGCCTGAGGATAAACAAGCACGGGTACTGTGCTCCAGTGTCAGGCAATGTCAAAACACAAAGCCATCAAAAAGTTCTTGAGGGATAATTGATTAATGAAACATGAACATCAGTAGAGGATTATTGTTACTCAAGTGACCAGCCATTCAACCCACTTACATACTTTGAGAATGCTGCCTTTAACTGCAAAGCAAAGGCAAGAAGAATATGGTTCTAGTTCCAGCTATTCTCTTACAGACTTTATGGTGGTATTTTGTGGTCCCATCTCCTCATTTGCCACAACATAAACAACAACAACAAACCAAACATATCAACAGTATCAGGAACCTTAATTCACTACTGTTTTCAGGACATGGATATTATATACTGCAAGACACTGTATGAGCATAGATATTTTCTTTGTCATTAACATGTCTGATGTCACACGAGAATGTTATAAAGACAACTGTGGGACTGGAGGATAATATGCGCATATACAAGAAGGTCTGATGGGGAGAAAGTTTTGCTGGGAGGCAGTCTTAAGCACCCTGCATTCCTCTGGGGTGCAGCAGGCCTTACTGTATGCATATTTGCAGATTGTGTATCACATATTTATAATTCCTTCATACTGAAACACATAAAAATAAAAATGAAACAACTCATTCTGTATTTGTCATGGCTAATTTTGTCAAACACCAGTATTAGATATGGAATCACAAACTGCAACATAGTAATAAAACAGAGAAGTTGGAAGGAGGAAGAGTTTTTAAAGCTATCCAAACCAATTTGACAGCATCAAATGGAAAGGAAACTGTAAGTTACATTGACACACAAGGATCAGCATGTCAAAACTGGCAAAGCTTGGCAAACAAGCTGAAGTTTAGAAATTAGATACTTCCTTTCAAACAATTCATTAGCAACAGAGATCTATACAATACGAACAATAAATCCAGAAACGCATTGACTCCTTACAGCTAGCACCTGAACTCTCGTTTCCAGAGGTCAAGCATGGTCAATTTATAAACAGCTCAGAAGCAGTCTAAGCAAAACTTCAGAGATGGTGTAGCATTTCTGCCCTTACACAGAACTCTGCAAGCAAGCCAAAGGACTTGACATGACTCAATTGGTGAAGAAGATAATCCAACTCAGAAGCCAAACTTAGTTCTGACCAGGTTCAACCTCATTCATCAGCATCATCAAACTGGCCAGTCTCAGTCATTCTAACTGGTGGCGTAAAAGCAAGGCAAGCTGCATGGTGACAGCCTGGGTTGTAAAACGAATCCTCTCGCCATGAGTACGAGGCAAAAAGATTATTTTCCTGAAAGCTTCCACAGTGGAGATCGCCAGCATCTAAAGAAGATCAAAGAAAAGATTTAAACCATGGGAGATACTTCAAAAACTAATGGTATATTGTAGCAGATTATTTTGCAGGTCTACAGCATCTTCCAGTTAAGTATTTCAATCTAATCTGCCAGCACTCATGAATTAGACCCACAAACAAAGCAAACAGAAAGCTGAATTTGGCAATGTCTTTATTTTAAGAAAGGTTCTTGCCACAGAAACAAAACAGTTTTCCAGAAAGTTCAATGATGTACCTGGATTCAGAACATCTGACACCAGCTCTTCCAATGCACGCAGTTCTTCTACGTGTGCAGGCATAAAAGGCTCGTGAAACCATTACTTTTATTTCCCCTCCCCCTTCCTGCTGTTTCCATAACCACATCCCAATTAGGAGCCCTCCAAACCTTTTAAGAACTGGGTCACTGGACAGAATGGAAGGGTGGGGTCCTGTAAAAGCAAGCTCTCAACATCATTCCCACTAGGCTAGAATACAGCCCAATATGCCAGTTATTTAACCACCTAGCACAAAAATAGGGCAAAGTCCTTTAACAGAAGCAAAGGATTTCTAGCCAGCAGACACCAAAAAGGACTGAGCAAATGAAAAGCCCAGAGTATGGGGCACCAGAGGACCCAACACAGTATATATCCGCATGCCAGCTTTCCAGTAGCACTGCCAAACAAGCCATCAAAGCAAGCATTTTAAAAAGTTTTTTAAAAGCCATAAAATGACCAAGCATGCCTTTTATTTTGAATTAACAACTCAGACACTCGTACTCAATATCCTTCACAAGCACCCAAATCCCATAATCACAGCTTCCTTCAACTACATTTATGAGGATTTGAAGAGTGTAAGCTACAGGTAGGTATGAGTTAGTTAAATAAAGGAAAAGAGAACTTGTGACAGTTCTAGTAAAAAAAAAAAAAAAATCAAAACATTCCATACATTTGAGCAGATGAGAGATTAAAAGAAAAGCCCAGGATGGAAGAAAGGGAAACATCCAAAAAAACCCCAGTCTTTTTCTCAGATTACCCAGTGTAAAAAAATACTACTGTATTTCCATTTTAAAATATCAGAATGATTTTATAGGAAGGTTGCAAAAACTTCCCCACTTTCTTCTGTTACCAAACAATGGAACTTGAATACAACAGCCATTTATGGAATTAAAATAAGCTGAGAATTTATATTTCCTAAGTAAAGAGTGTATTAATTACAAAAGATACACATAAATAAGAAGAAAATAGAAATGGTATTATTCTGCATCAACAAAGACACAGCAGGTCACTGCTGGCTAAACTCCATCCACTTGTTGTGTCCTAACATACAGCCTGGCAAATAGAAGACTGAGACTCTCAGCTCAACACGAGTCACCTAAAACAGTTTACAAACTGAAGGATTAACATGACTCTAAAGATGTGGATGAAACTGCTTCTATCCATTGCCACCTTTGTCCTTGGGACTGATCACATGCACAACCACCTTAATGGGATCAGGTTTAAAAAAACAAACAAACAAAAAAACCCCACAAAACCAACCAAACAAAAAACCCCTACGGCTAAAACAACAACAAACCACATTCAGGACGGAGACTGAGCGCTTGCACTGCTCCCCTCTAAAGAACTCCACGTTCTAGAGGGACATTGCAGTGTACTGTCTGAATGAATTTTCTTCGAGGAAAGGAGAAACTCCATTTATACAAAAAAGTTACATTCCTGCACTCTGTGTACCTTTCTCTTCTGCTTCAGAATAACAAAGATAACACTATTGAGTCCTAACTTCTCCAGCGAAACTCAATACATGCATTCAATTCCTCTCCTTACCATTCTACTTCCTCAGAATTCAAGTGCTCAAGCAAGAGTTTCATGCAAACTTCACAATGCTGCCTTTAAATCCTATATTTGACAATAAAATTATGCATTACAAATCCATGAGGTCAACAACAACAAAAATTGCTTCCCAAAACAGAACATGGAGTTATTTAAACACATTCTCCTGCAAAGCACCTACTTCCAATCACATGCTATCCAAAAGTCAAATGAAGCACAAGTAAATTTGTACTCACCGTAAGGATTACATTCAGAGTCCTCCAATTCTTTATCCCAGTCCTCCACCCCGTACACAGAAGCAGTTTGCAGCTCTGGAAAAGTTACAGCCTCAGGCATACTGGAGACTTCACCACCCAAGTCTTCCAGGTCAGGATGTATATGAACAGAGTCAACAGGAGAGCCACTGACATCATTTTCATTGTGAGAGGTATCAGAGAATTCACTTTCTTCAGACTCACTATCAAGAACATTTGGAATATTCTTCAGCAAACATTCTAAAATCAACAGAAAGAAACAACAGAGACACTTAGGAATTAAACAGGAACAATTAAATACTTAGCATGCAATAATTCAGACAGGTATACAAATGCACTTTGTGACTACTAATCTAATAATAATACATGCAATTTCTTACATATGTAATATCACCACAGTGCTACTTCAGGTTTCAGATGCTTGGGAACATCAGACATAGTGCTTGCATCACAACACTAGCCCAAGTCAGGATTTTCCACAGACTCTTGTTGGATAATAACTCTTTAAACTAGGGCAAAGGACCCAGCAGTCTTGTTTCACCACATTCACCTGTTGGTATTTTTTAAAAATAGGCATGTTGAAAAACCACAGCTCTAGTTTAAAAAAAAAAAAAAAAAATTTTTTTTTGTAGTATTGATTAATTATTATTCTTGCACCTAGGCATACACAAGTATCTACATGGAAATAATTTAGTGCAGTAAGTGCAGAGGCATTTTGCATGCATCACCCAGGAGTTTTAAGTATACCTCCTCAAGCAGAGTGTAAGATTTATTACTCACCATCTGCTTTGTTTTGTCCTAATATTTTAGGCTTATCTTTTCTGGGCTTCCAGGTCATAGTCTTTCTCTCATTAGGAAGCTGTTCCTCCTCAAAGCTTGTCGACTCAATGGCAGCAGCCATCACCTACAAGACAATTTTAAAGACTCCAGTAGCACCTTTCATTGATTCCAGTAAGGCTCACGCAACTTCTGCATTTGAGTGGTTTTGAGCCCTTGAGCATGACCTGTTTATTTGTTCCCTTGATGAATCAGAGGTTTTAAACCAGACAGGCTTTCACTTCAGAAAGCAAATCTGCCGAGGGATGGCTCATCCTGCTGCTGCCATCAGTCACCCCAGGCAGCAGCCAACAGAGAACTGTGGGTCTCCTCAGTCAGGGCTGCAATCCTGCTGACACCCTGAGTTTTGGGAACGGGTCCCAAAAGTGACCCCAAAATGGGCCCGTTTGGGAACAGCAGCAGATTGTGAAAGCTGCAGAGGTAATGAAGACACAAGGAGTGGAATGAGTACAAGCACCAAAGACTATGAACCGACCACCTTGTAAGAGCTGACATGCCAAGGAGACAGGAGAGGGCCAGACCCCTCAGCAGCCCTGAGGAGCCGGACAAAGATGTCAGATGCACACCTGGAGAGCAGAAGGTAACACCTCAGCTGGTTTCACAGACCCGAGAAGAGAGGAAGGGTGAGTTATCCCCACCACTTCCACTACAACAAAGATGAATTCGCTGAAGGGTAGCCCCTGCCCAGGGCGGTGGGTGCGGGCAGCCGGGCTCCCAGGTGCTCCAAGCGCCGAGCTCAGCCCGCCTGA